TTAATTAATGAATCTTTATTTCCTCCATGTAAAATGATGGTTTTTACACACAATAACATTCATAAAAAAAGTACTAAATCACACAATAAACAAAATATCACGCATTGGAACATATATACACAAAAGCAACTGGAACGTGAAAAAAATGAATAAGTTTTTATCAATTAGTTTCTATTAAAAAAATCAGTCTGTTTTCAAATATACGGTCATCCAACATTCAAAGCTAAATCCAAATGTTAAACACAATAAAGATGCAATGAAATAGTATTTTCAACTTATTCAGAAAAGTCTTCCAGTCCGATACGTTTCTTTAATGACAATTTTGATACAATATCGAAAATTTCAACTTTTTTTATATTTTCATAGAAGGATATCCGTAACTCACAGGAACTCATTTATATCTAAAGGACAAACCATGACCTTATTGTTATTTCCAATAGACGTTGGTTCAAAAACACGACATAATATTACAAACGGCAAACTTCACACATGAAGCAATCAAAATGTGACTATTAGTAAAGATTAGGGTACTTTTTAGCTTACCTGACACAAAGGTCAAATGAGTTTTTCCTATCACTTGGCGTCCGTCGTCATCTGTTTCCTTTTTACAAAAATATTCTCCTCTGAAACCACTGTCTCATTGGGACCAAACTTGGTTACAATTATCATAGCGGCATCTAGTTTTAAAAATGTGTCCCGCCTGTCAAACAACATGGTCGACTTGGTTACAAATAGAACATAGGGGGTAAAATGAAATAATATTTAGTTGAGTTTTAATTTATAACAAAAGCATCTGTTCATTTACACCAAAAGTTTCAGACGACATCGTATTCTAGTTATTGCCTTTACATATCGATTGTTACAAATTGTTTTTTGTTTCTTTCATATTTGCCTATTATCTATAAACTATTATAGAAAAAGAGGAACTTTAAAAAGCAAAAATTATCAGCAGGACTAGATTTACAAATTTGACAAACGACTGAAATCGTCGGTCTACTTCGTATAGGGGTCATTGCCTCTAAATGACAATTTAACCATATTGTGCATTTTTTACCACAACTGTATGAATAAAAACTGCAAACAGCAAACATTATCAGCAAGAAAATATATCCAAATATATCAGCATCGTCGAAATTGTCAGTCGACCCTTTATTTTAGGAATTATAAGTATTGCTCTAAAATAATGATCTTTGCTCATTGTTTGCATTTCATGCAAAAACTACATTAGATAAAGAAAAATGTAAACAATAAAAATTATCAGCAAGACAAGATATTCAAATAAGTCACCATTTTCTTTTGCTTCCATATAGAGGTTACTGCCCTTTTGATTTGTTAACCCTTTTTATGTGTTGAGCAAAAACTACAGAAGATAAAGATAATTGAAGTCTGGCGTTTTGCATTTGCGCCGATTATTTCTTTCATTTGCGTCGATTGTTTTACAGTTAAATTACAGGTGAAAACTATTTATTTATCATTATAACCCTCTGCCGCCAGCCAGTTATAGATATGTTATGAATTATCAATTAAAACATGCATATACTGTTACCCCCTGCACACAATGGGGAGGTGGAAGTAGGATTTCGAGCAAAACAAGTCAATTTTAAGATTAAAAGCACTCTGTTTACATCCACTAAAATAACTGAGTTAAGCAATAAAACATCAAATGATATAAAAATCTATTTACAGCCTTTAAAATATCAAAGAACAATAAAACCTCTTTACGCCATGAAAAAAGCAGAGCACTAAAATGCAAAAAGGAGCAAATGGAACTTGAAATTATTGAATCGGCGCAAATGAAACAACCAAATCGGCTCAAATGAAAGACTGGAAATTTATAAAATCGGCGCAAATGTCATACGCCCTTGTAATCAGCAAAAATAATCAGCAATACAAAATGTGCAAATAGGTCAACAACACAAAAATTGTTTGTCCACTTTTAAAGAAGTCTTTGCCCTTAAATGACGATTTTCAACCAAATTTTTGTATTTTGGCGAAAAAAACTTTTGTAGAAAGAGAGAAACTGCAAACTGAAAAAATATTATCAGAAAATACATCTTAGTTTTGAATTATATTCCAGTCTTCAATGTTAAAACGGACTTTTTATAGCCTTTAGTTTAGAATGGCCCTGGTTTGAAACGAGTTCTGGGGGCTGATTTTTATCTATTTTGTATGTGTATTAAAAACACAATGCTATATTCATTGTTTTTTAGTTCCTGAAGTTCGTTTTGTAAGTAGTGTTTTCTTGACTGATATTTTTACCATGGTGTTGCTTGTCACTCTTTGGCGTGTTCTTCTTAATTGCCCCCTCCCTTTTTCTGACACCACCGCAATTCGTTTCTTCTTCGTTTTTTTTTATTTCAGTATATCTCTGTCTCGCCCAAAAACTATAACTCATCCCGATTACGATGTCAACTATGTAGTTTATGTGGCCAAAAATTGAACAGAACAATTGCAGATTGCCTTCAACAATGAGCAAAACCAATACAGTATAGTAAGCTATAAAGGGACCAGGGATAACAAAATGTAAAACAATTCAAAAGAGAAAACACTAAAGGCCCGATTTATACCACAATAAATTAAAACAAAACAAAAGTCCTTTATAGCTTGTTGTTCGGTGTGAGCCAAGGCTCCGTGTTGAAGGCCGTGCTTTGACTTATAGTTGTTTACTTTTTGCACATTGTGACTTGGATGGAGAGTTGTCTCATTGGCACTCATACCACATCTTATTATTTATATTAACCCCGCCGCATGTTTGCGCCTGTCCCAGATCAGGAACCTCTGGCCTTTGTTAGTCTTGTAAGTTTTTTTTTTAATTTTGGTTCATTTATATGTTTCGGAGTTGAATGTGGTGTCCATTTCACTGAACTATTATACATTATTGTTTAGGGAACAGCTGAAGCCCGCCTCCGGGTGCGGGATTTTCTCGCTGTGTTAAAGACCTTTTGGTGGCCTTGTGTTGTTTCTGCTCTTTGGTCGGGTTGTTGTCTCTTTGACACATTCCCCGTTTCCATTCTCAATTTTATTTTTGTTGAAAAAACGACACTCTGAATATTGGACCAATTTGGATAATTATTTAGCTGTGTATACCGTGTATCAAATTTCCTTATATATGGAAAATGCCTTGTTGTTGTTGTTGTTGTTGTTGTTGTTGTTGTTGTTGTTGTTGTTGTTGTTGTTGTTGTTGTTGTTGTTGTTGTTGTTGTTGTTGTTGTTGTTGTTGTTGTTGTTGTTGTTGTTGTTGTTGTTGTTGTTGTTGTTGTTGTTGTTGTTGTTGTTGTTGTTGTTGTTGTTGTTGTTGTTGTTGTTGTTGTTGTTGTTGTTGTTGTTGACTAGCATAGACATTAGTCTCTAAGACTTGTTCAATACTATGTTGACCTCCAGATGTCTTTTGGTTTAATATTTGTGTTTGGTTGCTGTCTCATTAATGTACGCTCCACATTTCCTTTTACTTATTTGTTGTTGCTTGTCGTGAATGTGTGCTGAATATATGGAGTTGTAGAGGATATCAATAAAATTAGTTAACGCTTTTCTTCTTTAAATAAAGCAAGAATACACACGCTGAAATGTCTCGCCTGCTTTATTGAACATGATTGTATGTATATATTCTTAAAGATAAAGTTTTACTACACGTATCAGATAATTTAAATAAGAAGATGTGGTCTGAGTGCCGATGAGACAACTATCCATCCAAGTTACAATGTGTAAAAAGTAAACAATTATAGGTCAAAGTACGGCTTTCAACACGGAGCCTTGGCTCACACCAAACAGCAAGCTATAAAGGGTCCCAAAAAGACTAGTGATCACTAGTGTAAAACAATTCAAACAGGAAAACAAACGGTCTAATCCATATAAAAAACTAGAAACGAGAAACACTTATGAACCACACCAACTAACGAAAACCACTGAACAATAGGCTCCTGACTTAGGACAGGTGCATAAAAATGACTTAGATGATCAATGATCTATGACAACGATGTCAAGGTCCGATAAACCAAGACAAACAGACATGCACACCTTACAATCAGTCCATACACCAAATATAGTTGACCTATTCCTTAAAGTATTTGAAAAACGACCACACTTAATATTTACCAATGAACCATGAAATTAGATTAAGGTCAGGTAAAAACCTGCCAGACTGACATGTGCACCTTACAACCATTCCATACACCACATATAGTTGACCTACTGCGTATAGTATTTGAGAAACGGACCTAATCACGTAACTTGAACCTTGATCATTGATCAATGAAATTAGGGCGAGATCATGTGAACTCTGTCTGACGGACTGTAGGTATTGCAAGAAATCCATATACAAAATATAGTTATCATATTACTCATAATAAGTGAGAAATTCACATGACAAAAAAACCTACACATATTTTTAAGAAGTCGCTGAACCACGAAAATGAGGTCAAGGACAATGGACATATGACAGACGGAACCTTCAGGCTCTCCGGGTCTTCTACCCCTGAAATATAAAGCTTTATACAAATAGTTTACACCAACACCCCGAATTGTTATCCCTATGTCTCGTATTCTGCGACTTTCGTCGTAGGTAAGACAAAAAAAAACATCAGCAGCAGCATATTTATTTTTTAATTTCCAGTTGCTTATTCTAAAAAATAATAAAGTTCTAACCGAAATAAGGTAAAAAAAACTAACGTTAAATGGAAAAGTGTTTGTAGTTTCGCAGCTTTTAGAAATGTCTTTGCTATATGATATTTGGTAAGTATTTTTTATTAATTTCCCCGGCATCATCTTAATCAGGTACAGAAATAACTCTTTTATAAAAAAATTGTTGTTTGCCGTAATTCTTTGTATCATTGAGCGTTTTTGTTTTTTTCGTTTTTTTTTTTTGGTGTATGTAGTAATAAGATTTTGCTAATATTTCTGATCAATTGTTCAGTACAGCCTACTTTTCTCAATGTCTATTAGAACTGTGATGTCATTGCAGGATAAAAGATAAGCATGTATTGATATACGGTAGCATATTTTAATAACAAACTATTTTGATAGTTAGAACATGTAAATTTATTCAATATAATATCAAATACTTATAGCAAAATATACAGTTATAAATAAATGTGACTTTGTGACTAGAATTTGTTTGCTGCAAGTTGACAGGCACAACCGTGATATAAGTACATGTAAATATTAAAAATGTATAATTATAACATACATTGTTAAATGAGAAGGCACATAGAAGTGATTTTATATCAAAAATAACACGAGTGATAACAAATAAAAAAATGACAAATGAATTACGAAAATAAGTACAGTTATTGGCAAGTCGACAGCTATAATTTGATGATATAAAGCCAGTGGTTACAACCTTACGGTTTCTTAACAAAATACAAGTGCACACTGTATCGAAGAGTCTGCAACCATTTTCATCTTCTTTTGATATACATGTATGATTCTATTATTTTATAAAAAGATATCTTCTGACATTTCTATGCATCATTTTTACCGAAATTGTTCGAAAATTGTAAAACACGTCACTATTGCGGTCGATCTTGTCAATGAAGTCCATGCAATTAATTTCTCTGTAAACATTCATCTGCTTGCAAAACTCAATGCTTGGAAATGCATGCTATAAAATTGGACGGCTGAAACTTAATAGTGGTTGTCTTTTCAGTCTCCTGGCATGAATGTTAAAGTAAATGTATGAAAGATCTGGATAACAAACTTCACTGATGAAATAAATGAAGTGGTAGTAACTATTATACTACTTAATATTTAAATAAAAATATTAGACGACGTATTTGTCATGTGACTGTTTGTATCTATCACGATGTCTGGTATATCATCCAAGAGGACGTACGAATTGCATTCTGGGACAGCAGTAGAATTGAAAGATGATTGTTGTGTTGTCGGGAGAGTAGCACGTGAAATATTACAACTGAAATTGTCGATAACGTTATCACAGCGCATGTAGTATGAAGACGTAACAGCCTCGTACTGAAGAGATGCGTTTGCCGTTTGGGCTTGCAATGGACTGGTATTTCGCATATTATCAAAACAAATTGGTTGTGATACGCCCTGAGACGGAACAATCGAACTATGAACTGGCGACAACGGATAATGTGACAACGGTTGACCATCATCTAGGTCGTTTGGAATTTGTGGAAATTGCCCGGTCTGAGAACAAATCGGAAATGAATTCGAAAACGAAATGTTGTTGGCATTTGGAGAATTAGGAAAATCGAATGAATTGTTATAGTAAAATTGGTAAGGTTTTCCAAAAGCAGACTCTGGTAGCAGTGTCCTCGGGTTAAGTTGTAGGCAACCAGCAACTAAATTCATCGTATTTTGTGATAAACCTTTCGATAACGATTTGGCAAAAGAAATACTGTCCGGTTTTTGTCCAGTTTTTAAAATTTCAGCTAAGGCACTAATGTAATTTCTGGCAAGTCGAAGGGTTTCTATTTTTGATAGTTTTTGAGTTTTCGAGTAACATGGCACATGTTCACGTAAAATATCCAGAGCATCATTCAGTCCATGCATTCGATTTCTTTCACGCGTGTTCGCTTTCATTCTTCTCAGACGTAGCTTGGCCAATCTGGCTTTTGTCATCTTTTTCTTTTTTGGTCCTCTTTTCTTTGGTGTTTTTTGCTCCGGACTTCCTTCCTTCACTTCATTTTTATGCTTCTTTTTCCTTTGCTTTTCGTGGTCAGATTCGTCATTTTCACTTCCATCATCTACATCAGAAGAATCATCGTCGTTACCTTCCTCTAGCAGACCTGCAACTTCAAGCCTTTCGAGTTCCTCTATCTCTTTCTCTAAATCTGATATGGACTTAACAGGCATGATTTCTAAAATAAAATAAAAATTCATTGTTAACAAGATACTTTCTTTGACATAGTTTACAATATATGGTTGCAACAGTTTATTTGTTACAATGAAAGAAAATAAAAGGTGTGTTAATTTTTTTTCAAGTATGAATGGTTTTATATGTACTTCAGTCAACTGTTCGTAGAGGCGAGGGCAGTCTATAAATATGCAGTTCCTGTTTCTACGCTCTTCTTACGAGTCACAGAAGCTAAGCGTGGACACAAAATTTGTATTTCAATCAGATCGAGGCGATGGTTAATATATTACAGTCATCATTCGTCAAAATTGACTCAAATATTTTATACCATTAGGTCTTTGTGAACAAAGAATAAATTTTCTGTTATTTTCATATTCTGAATAACCTTTACAAAACTTAACACGTTTATCCTGATCATGGCTTGATTTTTTTTCAACTTGTTCCCGAGTGTTGTGTTTTAGATGAAAATGGGATAAAAACTCATATCTATGTATTTTGATAGAATATTAGACTTTCGGTGTTAATCTTAAGTTTTTCAAGAAATATATGGAAAACATCACTCGATGTTTTAATTCTTTCAAATTTATGGATAAAAGAAAGAACACATAAAGTTAGAGACAATAAGTTGAAATAGTAGTATTAAATACATTCTAATAATAAAACATTATTAACAAACGCACACAAAAAAGAATATTATATTAATGGAAAAGGGGTCCAAGCAAGCGTTCATGTAATTATTTGTCTATATAATGATGTTTTCTCCGACTTATGATTGTTTTTATTGTTACGTTGGTGTCTTCTGACTTTTTGTTATAACAGCAATTGATATAAACATGAAATGTGTTAAACTTGATAACACAATATTTAAATGAATTGAAATGAACACTTATGGTCCTACATCCGGTCGATGCTTTATTTTGGTATTGCACAAAGTTGTGCTTTTCTCGTGCTGTTTATGGCTTATTTTCACTAAAACTGTTGGGTGTAAACTGATTGATATTTTAGTCTGGGAAAGCACGGAATATTCATTAGGTGTGTATTTTGTCCTTTTAGTGCTTCGTGTCGATCTGCTGAAGCGATCCCTTTCCAATTGATGTTTTTTATACTGAAATGTTACACCAATGTTCCAAGTGAGGGATGGATTGAACGCTAAAATTGTCTTATTGGCAATTATACTACAACTCTTTATTTTATGAATGACTCGCCGCCGCATATAGCCTTTTTGTCATGAGGCGGCACAAACACCAATCAATCAATAATCTTTATTTTTTACGAACGTATTCGTTGTAATCGCTTAATCGAATATGAAAATAAAGCCTTATTAATGAATTATTTCTGAAGTACAAACTAAAACCTACAGAAAATTAATGAACAAGTATTATTTTCTAAGTTGACCTTTGAAAAAAAATTGATTCCTAGTCATACTTAGTAGTTTTATTCATAGTCATACTAAATATTTTGATTCCTAGTCATACTAAATATTTTGTTTCATAGTCATACTAAGTATTTTGATTCCTAGTCATACTAAGTATTTTGATTCATAGTCATACTTAGTAGTTTTATTCCTAGTCATACTAAGTATTTTGTTTCATAGTCATACTAAATATTTTGTTTCATAGTCATATTAAGTATTTTGATTCATAGTCATACTAAGTATTCATAGTCATACTAAGTATTCATAGTCATACTAAGTATTCATAGTCATACTAAGTATTCATAGTCATATTTAGTGTTTTGGTTCATAGTCATACTTAGTGCTTTGATTCATAGTCATTCTAAGTATTCATAGTCATACTAAGTGTTTTGATTCATAGTCATACTAAGTATTCATAGTCATACTAATTAATTTGATTCATAGTCATACTAAGTATTTTGATTCAATGTGGAAAGAGTTCTTTGTACTAATTCAATTCTTTTCTTTTTGGGGGAATTTGATGATAACATTTGAGTTATTTAACAAATTAAGTCTTTAAAACAAAATAATTAAAAACAAAACCCTTCTCCCTTACGTTAAGTTTTTATTTCAATATCGTTTGATGCATGACAAGGTCTGTTACTTTTTCTTGGATTTCAGTTTAATCAGTGATTAAACGACGATTGTTCATTATTTGACAGATTTTTGTGGAGAAATTTATTCACCGAAAGACATCAAAAATAAAATTAATTGAATGATCATAAATACCCATTTTCTAATTAGCAAGCTCTCAATACCGTGTTTCTTTATTTTGTTCCGGAGATCATTCATCTTTCCGAATACCGTTAACTTTTTATTCAACCATGAATCAATTATCAATCTATAACAGGTCCTATTGAGACTTTCAAAAGAAATTTGACTTCATTAAGACACGGAGCTTTAAATCAAATCATTTCTACGTTTATTGTTAAGCACTTGAGTACGGACCAACACTTCTTTCTGTTTGTTATTCAGAGAGGCCATCTGTTCAGACAGTACCAAATGTGATGTTTGAGCATGCGTAAAGAAGAGTATCGGAAATAACGGTAAATCACGTAGCAATCGTTGTTTACGTAAGGATTCAGAACTGTATTTAATTTTACGCTAAATCCTTTGATAAAATTAAATCTATTTTGACCAAATATGTCAAACAAACACTTGACTATTGTGACAAGGAAGTCAATGACAGTTACAGTTTAAAAACTTTCGTGACATTAACTAAGCTATTATGATGCTGGTTACGGTGGCACTGTACACTTCAGTTTCTAGTTTATATATTTAGTTATAATTATCATGCATCTTTAGATAAAGCCGTTAGAAAGAGTTTTGTATAAAAAAAAAAGAATAGCCCCACTTAATCCTTAAGTTACTTTAAAAGTTACTTAAAATAAAACGCCGGGCAAATCATCGGAAATGTGCCAGTGCAGGTAAAGAACGCCGGAATATTTGATTATTATTGAACAATTTTTGAATTTTTGCATGTTTATAAGAAATTAATATATTGTTTGGAGTAGTAGAGAAAATGATACTACGGCAAAAATATATAGTCGTATTTCCTGTCTCCATACATACCCTAAATTTCCATGACTATCCTAACACGTTTATAATATTTTACATAGATTATACCTACATGTATATATAACAATGTTCAGGACTTTAACGGTGGTTAATAAAAAAATGTATTGACGGTTTTTAACACCAAAAATCCAATAAAATTATCTATCTATCTTTCTATAGTTATACCCTATTTCTTTCTGCCATTTGAAAGGAAACAAGTAATACTTCTGTTTAGCCTGACTCCAAGGCAAGGCCGACTGTTACTAATTTTATTCATATAGCACACGAATTAAATCTATTTTGACACATATACTTTACAGGCACTTCGAATGCTATGCATATAATTTTTTTGGTAAATGTTTAGAATAATAAAACATACTATTAAAATTTCTTCAGTTAAAACATTGACCTAGATTTAAGTTAATGTTATAAAGACCTCAGTACATGTTACAAAAACTTGGGACAATTGTATTGGGCAAAAACAGGTAAGATCGAAACTCTCCCTTCTTGGTGATTTTGATTCCCAGTCATAATAAGCATTATGAAACAATGTAAAAAATATTTATTGACCATCCCATGTAACACGTGTGCGAGATATTATATTCCTTCAGAACGGGTGGTCGTTCTTTGTGGTTAGGTGTTGTGATATTTAGTAATTGATTCCAATAAAAGGTTAACTTCACTTCCTTCCGAAGTTTAGTAGACACATTATATTATATTTGTAGCTAACCTATTCTTAAATTTTTTTGAATGGATTGTAACACGTGACTTACACGCGACGTCGCGTGTCAAAGTAATAAACATTACAAATAGCAATTTTGACGCCTGCTGAATGGCATGTTTTCCCGAAAGATAGATAACGGAAGGACAATTTTGTCAAACAAGTCCACTTAATGTCAACAAATATTTTGCATCAAATAGCTTATCCTTTACATTTTGCAGATTAATAAACTCCTTTGAATTGCAAACATGCCTAATCAAGTGAACGGTTGACTGATGGCACGCGACAAACGATTTAAGAAAACCGTTTTCATATGTTTAAATATGTCTTTTACAATAGATAATGAAAGATTTTATTTCTTAAAGTGACATATCTGGTAATGCTTGACTGCATTCGAATAACACAAAGGTCAAAATCTCTTAAATATAACGCAGTTGTAAAAATGACCGATCCGTTATTGAAATACAAACTGTCACTTGTTTTTCAATGAGGGGGTAAAAAAAAGGGAAGTACAGGCGTGAAGAAAAATGAATCATAGTTACTATTATAAAGAATATAAATCATAGTTACACTCATAAAGAATATAGATCATATGTTAGTTACAATCATAAAGAATATAGATCATGGTTACACTCATCAATTGTCTAAGAATATAATTTAAATCTATTTGACTTGAACTGCATAGTAGCAATACCTCGGACTCGCTTGGCGTTATTCATAAGAAAAGAAAAGAAAAAAAATTGACATGAAGTAATGTTAATTAAATTACATATTCCATCATAAAATATGACAGTTGCAATAGAAAATTACATGAAAGAAAATACAAATTAAAAACTTTGGGAAAAAGAGAGGAATTATGCCAAGTTAAAAAACAACAATATATATTTGTAGACCCGTCACCGTATGATGTTTCTGGGTTAAATCTGTTTCAAGGAATGCTCCTTTTATCAATTTCCTATTAAATTTGTTAAAGTATTGGGATACACTATATTTATATGAATAATAGGAATATGTGTATATTTGAAGTTAACCAATATAATTTGACTGAATGTTGGACTACTGAAAACCAATTATAAATAAAACTAATCATCAAAACAGTAATCGTGTTTCACAATTATTTGGTTACCATTGTAACAGAATGTTCACCAGTTATTTTTACATCGACATATGTGACTTTTTTCAAGATGAACAGAAAAGTAGGCAAGTCTGCTGCGCGTGAAGTTACGTCATAAAACGAGAGAATGATTTGATGAGGATGTTGATTTTTATAAAT